ATATGTAGAGAATCGACTGTATTTTATTGTTGTGCATGCATGCCATTATATTCAAAGAAAGTGGATTAAAGATTACTTTCAAATAAACTGGTTTAAAAATAGATTAGAAGATAGAGGATTTTGTTGTGTGCCAAGTTTATCGCGCGCGATGAAAAAAGAGAAACATCGAACCTAAACTTGAACAGCAATGACATGTTGTGTGCCACAGTTTTTGCATCTTGTATTGAGCCGCCTTAAAATAATAATAATTTGAAAATCTTTTCAGCTCAGTGATTACTAGCTACTTTTGTATTTGTTTGGAGTTGTATTCATTGGACTGTGAAATAGTTGATGGGAGCAAACAGGCAAAAAGTGCTGAGAATCTTTTAAAAATCGCTGAATGTTGAAATAACTTCGTATACTTTCTTCATATACTCCCTTCGCTCAAAGTTGTACTTTAGAGAGCGGTAGAGAGGATGTTCTTTTGAACGAACCTGAATTTTTTTGGTGGAGGGGGTGCATGTTTGGTGGAATCACATAAATAAAAACCCGCAAATTGAGACCTGCAGCCCGCAAATTGTGACTGAAAGCCCGCAAATTGTGCCTGTTGCCCGCAAATTGTGTCAGCAGCCCGCATATTTTGACCCGCAGCCCGCAAATTGCGACCCGCGAMCCGCAGCCCGCACGTTATGCAGACTCGATGACTTGAAGTTGGTATGTGTGGAAAAGAAATTTATCGTTCTAAGAGGCTGTGAGGTCGAAATTTACTCGAGTTGAGATTTTAGGTGAAAAAATTTGCAATTGTTTGGAGGCGATCGCTTTTCGGAGTTACCAACCTTGTAGTATTTATTATCTAGGGGACCAACATTAAGAAAAAAAGCAGTCTTTTTAACTGCAGAGAGCTGAAACTCCGCATAGATGTGTAATAAATTAACAACAACATATTGTGTGAGTTTGAATTCTTTTTCTTAAGATTTCCTACTTTTATTAAATTTTTCGTTTTTCCCCACAAGACCTTCAGAGAAAAGCCGACAAGTGCAGTGCTTGGGCTACCTGTGTGAAAATGGCGTCAGAAAATGATCAATTAAGAAATAAAACATGTTTTCGTGCCTTCATAGCGCTATGAAATCCGAGGCGTTTGTTTAGGACAATTCGAGAGAGAAGCACGAGACCGCAGGATGGCAAAAGTGCGGGCTCTGGGTACGAGATTGGTCTGTCCTCGTCTGTCCAACGATCGACAACAATCTCGTTCCCAGGGCTACTCTGCGCCCAAAGATAGCCCTGGCATCGGTCGGTCAAATATGGATTTTGATTGGCTAAGATTTTTCTCACTTTTCATTGGTTGCTCATTTGTTGTGTCTTTTTGACACGGAAAAATTGAAGAAATAATTCAAATGCAAAGTTGATGGAAATTTTGAAACTAAAATACCTGAGTTCGGCGTCGTGCATTCAAACACGGAATCTAATGAAATTGGCGGGAATCTTCCAGATTGCAATAAAAACGTGTGAAAATTAGCTTTTCTGAATGTTTTGAAAACTTGAAAAAAGTAAATGTTGCTACGAACAAATCATCATTTTCCAAAACCAAATAGCGCCTGCATTCTGCGTTAATCCACACTAAACACCCACTGAGAGTGGGTGTCACGTGACCGGCCAATGCCAGGGCTATCTCTGTCCAATCTCTGTCCGCCATTTTGAAAAAAGCGAGCAGAGTAGCCGTGGGAACGAGGTTAGATCGACATCGGCTCTCGACCAATCAGCGCGCGAGAATTCTACAAGGTATGGTAAAAACTTGCATATACTTTTTAGTAGTGTTGAAAATAAATACATCATGCCACTGTGATAACAAAAACTTTTGCGGTTTTATGCAAGACTCAAAACATCGGCATCAAAAATCTTAAGTTGCCCCTAGTTAATAATAATAATAATAATAATAATAATAATAATAATAATAATAATAATAATAATAATAATAATAATAATGATAATAATAATAATAATAATAATAATAATATAATAATTTTATTTTCTCATAAACATGTTTACAATAATAATAGCAAAAAGAATAAATTATAAAAGTTTTCCCATTTTAAATTCCTACTAAAAACGATTTTTACAATTTACATTACTGAGATTATATAATTTACAATAGATTTTCTGAACGTTTATAATTATAAAAAGGTGTTAAATAAAAAGATAGATAGATATAAAAATAAAATTTATAAAAAAGACACTATAAATAAATATATATAATAATTATAAATTTGAATAAACTATTTTCTAAATACTAGATTTTGATAATTCAACGTCCAGATCAATGTCTGAAAAGTTTTGAGGTCTTCTTCTCTTTTTTTCTCAATATGTATTCAGTTATTCAAAAGAGGAATTTCCTTTTAGTCATTATTCCATTCGTCATTTTTATGAGTAGCTTTAGCCAAACAATGGACGCTGTACGAAACAAAACGGATGAATGCCAATTGTCCATAGTAAAAAAGGTGATGTTTTGGGGTAAATTTGTTCTATATTTGACTCATTGTGAAACAAATTGTGAACCAAAATATGTGCGTCAATCACAACAAAGAACAATGTTTTTCAATGCTTAGCACCTGGTAAATTTCTGAGTCTGATTGAAAAGTGAAGCATAAAAAAGTCCAAATTTTCCACCCGAAAGCTAAATCATCGTTGCTGCTTAAGAAATCGCTATGGCAAATAACTCTTCTAGTGTAGTCGTTGGTGGTAGTACTCCTTCTCTTTGCTTTATATCRGTAGTGGCCTTTGATCCTAACAGTGCTATGAACCGGCCAGATTCAGTTCACCCAACTTGGACTTTCCTTGCAACAATCAATGGTCTTGCTGTCCTACCGACTGTCGTCCTCAACGCCATCATYATATGGGGYGTTTTAGGAGACGAAAACCTTCGAAGTTCTACCTTYAACMTTTTGCTTGTTTGTTTATCGGTGACTGACTTCCTSGTAGGATTACTGGYCGAACCCTTGTACACTCTCTTTCTTGGATGTCTTCTGGAAGATTGTTATTCGCCTTGTCAATTCACTGTTTATTGGCTGYTAGTCCTGGTTTGCTSTGGTATGACAATGGTCACATTGGCAACCGCGARCGTTGAGCGATATCTGGCAATAGAACACCCAAACTTTTACGTGAGAAACATGTCTGTGAAAAAGGTCATATCAGGAATGGTATTTATTTTCCTTGTARGTCTAACTTGTGTGTCGACTATCAGCGCTTTTTTGWATAAATATAMTCCCAAATTCTTCAGAGTTCCATTCATGATAGCCAGCGGTATTTTTGCTGTAATCATACTGTACTGCTCAWGTAAAGTGCAGCTGACAGCGTACCATCAAAGAAGAAACATCGCSCTTCAGGCAAAGTCAGTTCAACAGCTCGACGRACAGCAGCAACAAGATCAAAGACTCRAMGAATACAAGCGCGTGCTCACCACSACCATTTTAGTGGCAATGTCCGGGCTCTCTTACACCTCTTTAGCTGTAGTCGGAGTGATAGAAGCCGTGAAAGGTAAAGATGCGACCAGGGATTTTCGATACACCGCTGTACCCATTTGTGTTACATTGATACATCTCCAGTCTCTCATCAACCCAATCATCATGTCACTTCGTCTGTCGTACATTCGTCAGCGCATCAAAAATATGTTCACTCAGTCTAGTGAGAACTCAGACCAGCAGTAGAAGTGTAGTATCTTAATGTGAAACCGACTGAAGCAGCACATCTTTCCATGTTTATCAAGTCAAGTATGTCCAATATAGTACTGAAAAACAACTTTTGACATAAAATAACATTTTTGTCCTTTGTCAAAACTGTTATGGATTCTTGGAAACCTTTTACTGGAAAAACAAGGTATTTTCATGACAGTTTTTCTCTTAACCGAACTTAAATTTTCATATTATATCATTTTTTCATTATTCAAAATCATCGATTCTCCTTTGTTAAAACTTTTCTCGACTCTTGGAAACCTTGACCCTTGGCTATAATAATTCTCATTTTACTGGAAGAACAAGATATTTTCGTAACAGTTTTTCTCTTCWTCGAACTTAAAATTTCATATTATATTTCTTTTTCCCTGTTTAATATTCAAAAKCATCMCTTTTCCCCCTTAATCTAAAATTATTGATTTATCTGTTGTAAATAATTTCCTTCTTCGTGATCATTTTATCGTTTATTTATCATACAAAAGTGTACGTTGTGTATATAGCTTTTGAAGTTAGACGTTATATCTGGTAGAGTTACTCCACATAAAGTGCCYAATGCTGGCCAGAGCTTATGAATAAAAGCTAGTCGAACCGGCCTCTACAGACCTGTAGAAGCGACTCCACAGGCCTGTTTTTAGAAGCGAAGCCTCTATAATCAGGAGTTTTAATGAACTTGGTSTTTATGCGTGCCGCATTGTAGTTGTATTTATGCCTGGACGCGGAAACGAACTCATTTCTTTCGTTCAGTTAGCATAGATACGGCTTACAAATGATAATATTAAAACTTTTCAGTCAAACATAAATTACATCTCTTGTTGGAGCTTGATTATGGTTTGGTTTGACCTATTATGCGCCACGCGATTTTGTAAGGAATGCTGTCTTTGATTGACCAAACGTATTTGCTAGGTTCTGTTGCGAAGTTAGACATTAAATATATATACACATATACTTTAATAGTTTGCCAACTAAATTAGGCCCTCCTGGGAGTACCGAAATCTATTGTTAGATGTTAGGGAGCGTTCACTTTTAATAGGGAGGGGTTTGAAACTTTATCGAAAAAATCCCCCCCCGCCCCTGCCCACATAGTTGGACACAATTTTTTTAAAAGACCCACCTCCTTGACCATGTCTTCTTGACACGAACCCCTTTCGCTTAATTCTTAAGAAATTCATTGTATTGAATATACATGTATACAAGTGATATAAGATAAGAATTTTGCATTCCCCCCTTACATGATTTTTGTTTTTTTGTCCCTTTGGGTGCAAAACTATAACATGATTATATGATTATTGTCAGTACCTTGCTAAGTCTTGTTCTTTCTCTTGGATCTTCATTGGTGATGTTGCAGCAGACACTTTACAAGTCTTAACCGGTGATCTCAGCAACAAACTAGATCCAATACTTGTAGCTGTWGTTACTTTCCCATTGTCTTCTGTATTTGTGCTGACTGTTTCTTTGGGTGTCTTRGGAAGCGGTGATACGTAAGAACTGTTGGCTGTGACAGGCGTGGGAGGGGGAGTTGGGATRCCATTGTGGGAGAAATGACTTAAGCTTTGTTGCAGAAGCAATAGGTTGATCTGAAAATATGGAAGACRACTGTGACCACGTAATGGAATATACAGGGTTCGTGCAACATTTTCACTACAAAATTCCAGGACTTTTCAAGTACTTTTTAAGCACAAAAATGCGATTTTCAAGGACTACTTTGAAGTTATTTTTTGATGTTTGCGGACGTTTCAAGTGGCGATTTTCAAAAATAGCAACATATCAATCCACAAGCTAACAAGCAACAATTTTATCAAATTCAAGGAGCTTTCTAGGAGTTTTAGCTGTTTTAGTCCCATTTTCAAGGGCTTTTCAAGCGCCCTTGAAAAKGAGTTTTCAATTCCAGGACTTTTCAGGGATTTTAAGGAATAGCACGAACCCCGAATATAAAATAGATTGACAGGAAAACCAAAAATAATGAAACTTAATGTTATTGTGGACATTCGCGACATGCCTTCGTTTAAACATTTATCGCATTGTATGGTTCGACCTTAAATTAAACGGATGGAAACAGATTGAAATTTAAGTCATCTCATTTTCCACTTATGGAAAAAAATCTAAAATACGACCGCACTGAAAGTGAATGATGATACCATCTAGCAATACCTGTTGTTGYAGTTCTTTTATTTGTTGTTCTTGTTTCATTATAAGCTCATAAGGATCGCGCTGATGACMCTTAGTTTCGCTTTCTTCAGGAAATGAAGCATCTTTTGATGAATCTTCAACTCCAGAATCGCACAACTCAGAATTGTCTAACGTCTTTCTGGCTTGATTTAAGTTTTCTTCTTCAACACAATCGTTTTCCCGTAAATCTCCGCTTAATTTTCTTGTATCTTCATTATMTTTGTTTTTTGTTGTAGAACTAAACTGGACTTTCTCTTCGACATCATCAAATTGCTGCAGTTTTCTTTCCTGTGTTTTTTTCTGGGCTCCATTTTTACCTATTGGATGCTTTTCAATGTTTTTATTTTGAGTTYCATCAGGTCTTATCCGCGAATCCTTTTCRATATTCTTAAAATCTCGCTTCATAGAAGCTTGCCTGTTCTCRRCACCTMTTGGAGTGTTCACTTGTTGCGCAGTAATTGTTCKTAAAGGCTCTCTTTGTGRTGCTTTTGTAATAACAGCTTGCTTACCAGGATGCCTATGTTGTAGACTGTCAGGAGCTTTATTCTCCTGGTCTACCGTAACACTAACTGCCTCAGATAGGACATTGGTAATGTTCTTAGGAATGTAAGCGTGAGGAATTGGGCTTTTCTCATCAAGACATCCTGATTCTTCAAAACTTAGAGACAGAGATACTTCAGGTACGATTAATAGTTTGCCCTGTAACGAACGAAAACACATCAGATACAATGACTGCGCATGTAAGTTTAAGTTGAACTTTYTTTAAAAATTATCTCATTATATCGGCTGTATCATGGGTAATTTTAAGTGATTTTCACACATTTCTCACTAATAACATTGCCAATCGATCAAAACTTGTTGGAAAAGGCCTTTTGTATAAATCCACCATACTGGATGCCAAAACACTCGCTGGGATGTTCAAAACATGTATTTGAGGTTGTTTACATTCTTTGGCCATCCAGTATCGCGGAATTAGTACCACGTAACCGTTCCATGCAAAAGACCTATATTATGTTTATTCAGGGTAATTCAAGTTTGTTTAAAATATCAGCTACCCTATATATATTGCTTTAACTAAAGTAAGTAGTCGTCAGAATTTCATTAAATAACTGTATTTCATAAATATTTGAGAGAGTGCATCACAAAAGAGGTCTTGTCTCTAGCGGGAAAATCCAGTCTTCCAAAAGACGARATKAATTCACTCGCTGCATCAAAAGTCCTGACTCCAAGGAAGGTCATCAATCAACGTCAGCTTTTTTGATCAGTAATTTCGGCTCTTATTACAGAGAAAAAAKGAAACTTCGGGCGTTGTCTTCGGGTCTATTGTCCAGGTGCAKGACGGTCAATGGGCGTTATTGTGCATCTGCGGTTGATTTGCGYCTTRCGTGCTGTGCATTRKYTARGTTCAGGCCAAGATGAGAGAGTACATCACAAAAGTGGTCTTGTYTCTAGCGGGAAAATCCAGTCTTCCAAAAGACGCAATTGATTAACTCGCTGTATCAAAAGGGTCTTAATTCTTTAACCCCCTTTTGTGCTGTCCCTTCTCATTTATATATTTATTATACCTGGTGTGCTTGTGGGTAGGGTGAGGGTGATGGGCGTGGTTCTACAGGACCATTATCTGCCGTGATTGGTAGATTCTCGGCGTGACTATAAGTAACAAAACACGAAAAGAAAGATTATTCAGGTCTGGTTTGTTCAAAGCGTTAATCCAGGGTTAACTCTAGCTTTTCTAAGAGTTAAGCCAYGGTTATCGCTAATGGAACTTTGAACAGCCCGGCCCAGTGTCATTATTTTCCGATAAATGAGTTCAGAGTTTTGATGTTCTTGAAATTTTCCCCAAAAATAGTACTCTTTCACCCAAAAAGGTACTCTTTCACGTAACTAAACCAGATTTTCAAAAACATTCATGGAAACTACCGGTAAACTAGTGAGAGCTGTGTCGTTGTTTCTAACGAAATAGATGTGAAATAAGATTTACATTTTAGATGCTCACCGTAAAAAGTACGAGAAGGAATGCACTAACGTTTTGGACGTTAGTCCGTCGAAATAAAAGCACAACAAAGGACTAACGTACGAAACGTCAGTAAGTTACTATTCGTATCATTTACGTTGTAAAATCTTATCTCGCAACTGTTTTTTTAAACATTGATCGTTTAAGGTGATTGTTCGTAGTTTTGTATTAAAATTCAACAATAATATACCTCCTGGTGGTGTTATCATGATTGCTCCAAATCGTGAAAGCTTGATTAAACAGCACTTGGTTCATTGTGTCTTTTGATGGCAGAAGTTCAAAGCACATTGGCTCAGGATACTGTGCTTGAGACACCTTAACAAAAGAATGATCTCTAGTCAGAGAAAAGGTCTAAAGGCACGGCAATGATAGAATGCAAACACTACATGTTATTAAACTTTATACAACTTTTCAGTAAAATCAGACGTTTTGATTGGTTGGCTTTCGTGTGTTATCAAAGTATAGATACACGGATTACGTCAAAACTAATTGTTTGTTGTATAAAACAGATAGATCTCATTTTTCCGTGCGTGTGTACTCTAATAGATACACAKATGACRTCAAAATGTAGTGAGAACAACAGTCACGCACTCGACTGCGTCTCGTGCGTACTTTTTTGTTCTCACTACATTTTGACGTCATCTGTGTATCTATTAGAGTACACACGCACGGAAAAATGAGATCTATTTGTTAAATAAAATAGTTTAAAATGGTGGAAACTAGCGGCAAACTAGTGTAAGCTGCGTCGGTGTTCTAAAGAAACAGTTGTGTAAAAAGATAAATTTAACACCGTAAAAAAAGTAGATGAAACAACTTACTGACGCTTTGGACGTTAATCCTTCGTCGGAGTAAAAAGTGCAAACTAGGCACTAATTTATCTTTTTACACAATTTTAACATAGTTTATTGATTAAATATTCCTAAATTGTGCTGAATATTAGAGTCATTTTCATCTGTCTGTGAAACAATTACTACTAGTCAGTGTTTAATAGTAACTATTAGGGTGTGGTAGGCTACCAARAGGCAAATTGCCTAACTTGTTTGTCGCATGTCACAAGTTTAAACTATTGGGAGCTAATAGGGGGTAATAGTATTTAATAGTATAATT